TGATAGAGAGAGACACAGTGAGAGAGGAAACACAAGCAGGGGGAGTGGGAGAGGGAGAAGCAGGCTTCGCACCAAGCAGGGAGCCTGATGCAGGGCTCGATCCCAGGACTCCAGGATCATAACCTGAGCCGAAGGCAGAAGCTTAATGACTGAGCCACCCAGGGAGCCCAATGAACTGCTTTATTAATACACATGTCTCTTCTGTCTCCCCAGCACAAAAGCGTTTTGGAGCCGAGGCCTGTGTCCGACTCCCCTCTGCAGGCAGGTGTACCTGTCACATAGGAGATGCTCCGCCCAGGTGAATGACCTATCGGCCTATGTAATACTTGCCACAACGTGGTGAGGCAGGTCTCCCACCGCACAGATGAGAAAAGGCCAGAAGGGCTTCATTACTTGCCTAAGGCCATACAGCTACTAAGTGGCCCAGCCGGTGTGGGATCCCAGGCCGGCTTGCCTTCCCTCTGCACTCTCCACCACCGGGCCACCCTGCCCTGGGCGAACTTTACTCTGTGTAAGCCTGTGTCTCTCCCTAGCTGGAGAGGAAGGATGCTGGCACCTGCCACTCAGAACCAGAGTGACAGGGTTGAGCCCATTTCCTGGCGGTGGGCTAGGGCTTGGGTGGGCTTAGCCAAGTGGAGGCAAGAGCATTTCTAGGCAGGTCTCTGAGCAAGAAGCTCTTGTCTGCGTCTTTCTGGCTGGCTCCTCCAGGCTCCTCAGGAAGGGCTGGGGCGGGAGAAGAGAGGACAGCGTGGAATCAGCATTCCGAGGCACGCAGAGGCTAATCACGGATAATCACGGTCCCCAAGCTCATCTTTGGGTCAGAGGGTTGTTACAGCCCAATTATGGGTCAGAACAACTAATGACAGCTCCTGGCTCAGAAGGATGACATCCTTGACTGCAATGCTTACCCCTACCCCCACTTCCGCCCCGGGGCCCCCTGGATTGGGCTGCTCCCCACAGTGAGGCGGAGACGCAGGGAACTCTTTGCACTCTGGGGTAGGGGTCTCTCCGGCTCTAACAGAAACACAGCCCACGGCGTGGCTGGCAGAGACGGCCCTCAGCTGCGCCCGCCCCGCAGCCCTCGCATCAGAGCCAGCTCAGCTTCACCAGGCAGCCCTGGGCCCTTAATCCCTCCGCACCTAGCAAGAGACTAGGGGAAGGTGGGCGGACAGGGTGAAGGACCACCGTGTTTTGAGCAGAAATTGACGTGGTCCCTGAGAAGGCTAACCCCCAGAAGGACTCTCCAAAACTCCACATCTCAAATGAGGAAACGGAGGCTCAGAGAGGTTAAGTGACTGGCCCAGAGTCACACAGCTAATAGTTCAAGGGATCAGGACTTTCTGACCCCAAACCAATGCTCTTTTTAGGATCCTGAATTCTGCCGCATCCTAAAAGGTTAAGGAAATCTCACAGAACCCGGAGGGAGGGACGGTGTCAAAGAGCAGAGCCTGAGCCCCAGCTGGATGCGTTAAAATGCCCAGTTCCTAGTAAGACCCTGGAAGCTTGGATGTTGTGGACAAAGTGACCCCTAAGGTTAGAAAGGGAGTGACAGTATGGGCGGCCACTGGATAAGTGGCATGTGTGAGAGGCAGGAAGGAGGGGCTGTCTACTGTCACCTCCCAGAAGATCCACGTCCTGAAGTCAAGGAGCGCCTGGGTGCGAGGAAAGGCGGGAGACAGGAGATCAAGTCCTGGTGAGCAGGGGAGCCTTGTCCTGGTGCCACAGAAATGCTGGGCGCAAATAAAAGGCCTTTTAAACACCTTCCTGACCCTCAGAACTCGTTCGACAGCCATTTGACACCAGACTAACCTGACACCTCTTCCTTCAGTGTCTTCTGGAAAGAGCCCTCGAAAGGACCATATTTACACGTTACCTTTGAAAATTGTTCCAAAAATAGCACCCCCTTTGGCCTACCTTTTTCCTCCGCAACCAGCTGCATTCCCCATATTGTGTGAGTTGTTTTCCTCCGAGGAACCAATTGCTAGCGTCATGACTTTGATTGTCTGGTTGGCTCCGAGGGCAAGGAGGCCAGCAGATGGATGCGGATATGAAGACAATGGAGGTCTCCCTGTTGGCCTGGCCCGGGGCTCAGCTGGGGGAAGGAAACTATTAGAACGCCTGTGGGTGTCAGAGTGGAAGGAGTCCTCCGAGGGTAGTGGCGGGGGGGAATGTTCAAGGACAGGCTGCTCCTGTTGTGGTCTAGAATGTTCTAGAAGCTCTTGGAGATTTGTGTGGGGGTGTAGGGAGGGGTTTTACTGTTGGTGCAGCTGGGGGCTGCCTGGAGGGGGCTTGGGGGTTTAGACCCAAAGGGGATGTCTTCTTCAGGCAGGCCCCAGTTGGAGCTGTTCTGTTGCAGGGGAGAGTCGAGGAAGAAAAAGCATCCATTATAGCTGAGTGTGGGTCCCAGAGAATTAAGTTATGAAATGGGATGTGTGATTGGCTCATACTTAATTTGGGGCTAGAGAGCTTTGCACTCCGGATGAAAGAAAGGGAGAGAGGGAGGGAGGAGGAAGGAAGTCGTGTAGGATGGGCAGGCACTGTGCTAAGTACCTGCTGTCTTGTCTTCCAAAGAGCCATTTTCCTAAGGACCTCCAAGGAGAACTTTGAGAGGAAGTTGCTGACCCTTCCAGCCAACCTGGATGCTGTCGCTGAGATACGGGCTGTGCAATGCTTGACATCAACTGAAGGAGAAGACAGGTGGGTCTAGCAGGAGCCCCAGACCCACTATAAGGAAAAGAAATTCCCACCCCAGCCCGAATGTCCAGGTCCTGGCTGGGATTGGCCAGGGGTGAGGGGAAGAGCCCCGGGGTACGTTTTCATAGCCTAAGGGAGCTAAGACCCAAATGCACATGCCACTCAGAGCTGCCACTCAGAGCTGGAGCAGATGACAGCTGGTGGGGGGGTGGGGGGGTGTCACAGTGGGGGTGGGATGCGGGCATTCGCACCTCAAGGTAGGTCTCCCAACTGCTCTCTGGCATCCCACCACCACCGGGCTTCCCTGCTGAACCACACGAGTCATCCACAAATTTTGGACTCGCTTCCACCAATACCAATAACTTCTTACAGGTAGAGAGAGAGAGGAACTCAGACTCTCCTCTCCCACAACCTGACCACCTAGGAGAAGTTACAACAAAAGCGTACCTCCCACCAAATGTGGCCACACACACACACATTTCTTAGCAAGCACACATTACATATTAACTAATGAGGGTGGTGGAGATCCCAAACAACCCGCCACGTAACTCCACAAAGACCCTGGTCTCTGGTGAGATGTTTCTGCTTGGAAGATCTATCCAAGGCAGACGCAACAGTATTCTAGTGCTGAATTCAGAGGAGATTCTAGAAGGATCCTAACCATCCATCCCCAGAGTCTGTACTCCTCTTGGCTTTAACTAACTGCCCTCAAGCACAGTTTAAAAGTAACATAAAAGATATGTCACATCATCGATCTGAAGCACTTTGAAGTAGGTCAGAGGCAATTTAATGTCATTTCAAGAAGAAAGCAAGATCCTTTAAGTGAGCCTTGGCTATTATGCCTGCGCCCGCCCCCTGAGGCAAGTAATTAGACATGGCGGCGGTAATTTGAGGAAAATTCCTTCAGGACTTGGGACTCTAACTTTGAACCGGACTTGAGCGAGCTCATTGAAGTTTTGGCACCGTTCCCCAAGTGGTGGTTGTGCCCAGAAAAGACTACGTACTCATAGGTTTTCTTTGAGTTGAATGAGAGTTCAATTTTTCAGCTGACCTTTCTCAACCCTGGCTCGCTTCGAAGCTTGTTCAGTGGCTTGCGAATCTTTCTTGTTTGTTTGGAGCAGGTTTTAGCAACCCCTTCTGAGAAGTCTTTGAATGACTTAGTCCTGTTTACAAACTTGAATATTTACGGGGGCCTCAAACAATCCTTGTTGCATTTATAAACTTGATGTTTTGGGTGAGTGGCTTCCGCTGGAGGGGGAAAGGCCAGAAGGGGAGGTAAGGGGGAGCAGGGGTGCTCCTGGGGTCTAAACAATGCTAGAATTCTCCATCCGGTTCTGGATCCCTGGGCTGTGGGACTTTTCTGAGTGTAAGGGGACAGCTCCAAAAAATTCTTGGACTCATCGGTTAATTCCCCTTCTAATCTATCTGCCTGTTTTTAAGTTTTAAGGAAATCTCCCTGGATCCTTAATTCTTTCACATCCAGTGAATTCAAGGAGTGTAGGTGGTGAACCTAAAGTTCTCTTAAATATTCTACCCCGAGCCTAAGCTTTGAAAGATTCCAGCTTAAACTCACGCGCTGAAGTTAATTACCCAATTATATTTTAAATTAGAATGATGAGACTCTCACTTTAATGGGCCAAATTATCTTAGCATTGCAAGTGAGCACAGAACAGGAAATAAAATACTGTGGTTTGGATTCCCTTAAGTTTGTCTACGTGTGACCCCAAATCCTCCTGGAGTTCGAAGACAGGCACCCACAAAGAAAAACTATGACCCTAGTTAACTGGGGCTGCCTACCCTCCCCCCACAGGGGGCAGTTACAGGCTGGTTGGTTGAGGTTGCTGAGGGTAGGAAATTTCCCCTCGGTTGTTATTGGATTCTTGGTGCCTCTGGGGGCCTTCCAGAATCCTGTTTCCTGGTTCTCTCTCGTGGGCTTAAAAAAAAAAAAAAAAAAAAAAAAAAGAACCAAAAAACCCACAAGGGCTTATGTGTCGCCAGCTCCTTGGCCCAATCTCTGCAGCCTGGCAATGCTCACACCCCTTCCCTCACCTGGCTATGCTCACACAAGGTTGACCACATGTTTACATTTGCATGTTTCGCTTCTGACCCCACATACACGTATTTATCCTTTAAGTCAGGAGTTGTTTTTTGTTTTTTTTTTAAAGATTTTATTTGTGTATTTGACAGAAAGAAATCACAAGTAGGCAGAGAGACAGGCAAAGAGAGAGAGGGGGAAGCAAGCTCCCTGCCCACCAGAGAGCCTAATGTGGGGCTCGATCCTAGGACCCTGGGATCATGAACTGAGCCGAAGGCAGAGGCTTAACCCACTGAGCCACTCAGGTGCCCCAAGTCAGGAGTTTTGAAGTGGATGGAATCTTCCCTCTTTTGCACCCTTAGGATGTAACAGCTCTTCAAGACATCTATGTAAAATGCTCCTGGACTGGGTTTTCTCTTCTGCTGGGTCCTGGTAAGATCACTTCTCCTTCCGAGGAAGGCGGGGAGCCTTGAGGGAGAAGAGGAAGGGGATGCAGAGAACAGGGGAAGAATTTTAAGTCTCACGTGCCGCCTTCTTCTTCTCTCTCTGCTGAGTCTGGCTCAAGCTGCTTGTTGCTCATGCCTGCTCCATGCTTGTTCCTCTGGGGAGAGCCCTCCCTGCTGAGCTCAGCCCCCCACCAGCAGGCTCCCTTACTGGGGCCCTGCACTCCGGGTCCTGGTATGGGCCAGGCGGCCCTGCAGGCATCAGCAAGCGCCTCATTCCATGACAATCTGTAGGCCCAGCACGCTGATGACATCCAGGCAGGCTCTCCCCGGACGCCTCATCTCTCACCTTCTGTTTAGAGCACGCACTCACAACTGGTCCAGGCAGGGAGACCGCTCTGTGGAAGGTAAGGAAACAGATCCAACAGCCCCGGGGCTTCAACCCCAAGAAGAGCAACAGGTAGAGGGAGGGTTTAGCACGTGCGAAGTGCTTTATACGCACCGGTTCATTTCATCTCTACGAGCCCGATGGTGATGTGGGTTCATTTGTCTTTTAATGGAGGAGGCAGCTGAAGCACAGAGAGGTGAAGCGGTGTGTCCCAGATCACACAGCCAGTGAAGATCAACCAGATTTAGAACATGGGTCTCTAATTTTAGACCCTGTGCATAGAGCTCCTAAACTACCGGCAGCCCCATCAGGAGAGGGATCAGGCTTAGCCCAAGAGCAGGTTGCTGTGGGGAGAGGCTCAGCTAGACACTGGGCCAAATGGAGGGCACCAGTTGTCTCCAGGAAGCTAGCATGGCAGAAGAGGAAGGTAGGAAAGGAGTCCGCGGCAGATGGCCTGGGGAGGAATCAGAGGGATGAGCAGAGCCTCTGAGCCGCGGGAAGAGCTGACTGCCTGCCGGGCATTGTGCCTGGCCCCTTTGTCCTGGAACCCCTCAGACCCCAGACTCCGTGCTGTGTTTCTGAGAAGTAGACCTCCCTCCACTTTTATACTCTTTGAAATCCCCCTCTCCAAACGAGATATTACAATTAACGAAGAATAAAAGCACAGGGGAAAGCAGGGCCTCCACTCCATCCTGGGGTGCCCAGCCCTGGCCAGACTATCATGTGATCCTCCCCACAAGGATGCTGGAGATCTACCCACTCCGCAGGGGGCATTGATATGTCAGTGATGTAGCTGGCTTTGCATGGAAGTCTGTGGCCCCAAATCACAGGGTCTCTAACCATTACCTTATACTGCCTGTTGGGCTGATCTATCAAACCTTCAGCTGAGAATCTACTCTGATGATCAAGAAGCCATATCCCTCACTTGGTGTCAGGCAAGCTTGGTTTAAGTCTGCCATTTTCCAGAGCCTAGAGATGCGGGAAGGGACCGGAGTGTGGGAAACGGAAACTCAGAGAGGGTAAGGGACTTTCCCAAGGCCACACAGCAAGAGCACGGGAGCCACAGGACTAGAACTCAAGTCCTGTTTGCCCTGCCTCCTTCCTGCCCCTCCACCCCAGCATACATCCTACACCTCTGAGATCCATCCCCCACCCACCCCTGCGCCCCCCTCCCCCGGGGGCCTGCCGAACAAGCGTTCAGCCTGGATTTAGATGAGTGTGTTTCGCTTTGCCTGGCAGTCTGCTCAGTGATTGTTCTAAACCTGCGTGTGGGCTTCTCCACTCCCCCAGTCTTCTATTTCTTTCTACGCCCCCAAACAGTGCCCCATCCCCCACCCTCCCCCCTCCAGCACCCAGCACAGCAAGCCACACTCAGCAGGTGTTAAAGAATGCTTGCTGAGTGAGTAAAGCTTTGGACCATCTGCAGGGGCCAGAGTGGGTGTCAGACTTCCCCACCCCCTGCCAGCACCAGCCCCAGGGCCCGCCACAGGTGTCCCCCAGCAGGTGAGCCCACTGGCCCCCCAACTGTCACTGGGGATGGGGGAAAAGCACAGGACTTCTGGCAGAAAGGGGCTTAGGAGACCCTTGCTGGGTCCAGAAAGTCAGGGGCAAGCTCTAGGCCAGGAAAGCCAGCACCCCTGGCCTGCGGTGGGCTCTCCCGTGACTTCCTCGTGCCCTGCCTGTAAGCCTCAGAAGAAGGGGACCCCGGACGCCTCCCCAGTGGGCAGCCTCCCTAGGCTGGTGCCTAGGGAAAGAGAGTTGACACACAGCTCAAATGGCCCCATTTTGAATTTAGAAACTGCGGGGATGTGTGAGCAGTGTAGGCAGCTGGGTAGAAGAGAAGGTTCAGTGGCAGGCTTGCTCATCGGGACAAACTGACTCCCTGGTGTCTTCCAGGAAGTGGGGCATTGACATGCAAACTGTACTAGGATTCCTGATACCGAGGGCTTCCCCAGCCCTGTTGCCCCTGGACCCCGAGCTTCTCCAACCTGAATGCACAGGGCTCACCCGGGGAGCTTGCTACCACAAGGATTCCCAGTTCACCAGGGTCCTCCCCACCCCAGACTTGCCCTTGCAAGGTGGAGAGAATGGCATGTTTCATGAGCCTGCCCCTCCCCCAGCCCCAGGTGATTCTGGGGCAGGTGGGCTTTGAACCACCTTGGGAACTCCTCCTTGGATCTTGTCCCGAAGGACCGGGAGCACCAGGGCAGATCTGGAAGAGGTTCTGGTTGCAAAGCAGGAGGCCTCGTCTCTCCTGAGGCCCCTCAGACCCAGGCCATCTGGCTCCAGAGTGTCCCGGAAAGCTCACATAGGCTGCCGGAATTAGCCCACCCAGAGGCCGGAGCAGGTCTCCTAAGGGGCCCACAGTCTGCCCTGAGAATTCCCAGACCGCAGGCTGGAGTCAGAGCTCCTGAGAAGGGGTAGCAGTAAGGGCCCAGGAGAGCACAGGGAGGAGCCGTGCAGCAGAGATTATAGACACACTAGGCCCCAGGAAGGGGGAGACAGACTGTGTGCCAGAGACGAGGGGGTAGTGACCATTCCCCACGGCCAGGACTAACTAACTCCCCTGGGCCAGCACTGGGGGTGACAGTCACAGTCAGCAGAGCTGGGAGGGACCGGAGATCAGCTCGCCCCTTCACAGAGCAGGACGACAGAGTTTCCATCTTGAACACTTAGAGGATTGTCCCAGCAAGCACATGCCCATAACTTGCTGCGATACCTCAAGCTCTGGGAACAGTAAACTCAGGCGACGGTGAACTCCGGCTCTGCTTAGTCACTGAGACCCCGGGAACGACTTTGCGTCTCCCGCACACACTGTCCCCATGTCCAGTGTGGAGAGCCGGTTAAACCAGGTAAGGCAGCAATCCAGGGACAATGGCAGCAATCCAGCAATCGTGGCTGCCTCGAGCCCCATATGCAGCAACGCCGGAGTGGGGGCTGCGGCTAGGGACCCCGTGCCTGGTCCGAGCTCACTGAACCCTCGCGACGGCACCCTGATGAGAATTCATGCTGTCTCCATGGCGGAAAAACTTAGGGACCTTGTACCAGGATTCAGTCAGCGTAGGGCCGAGCTAGGGTCTGAACCTGGCCTGAGCCCTTCTACACCACATCGTGCAGTCTCAAAACTGACAGCACAGAAGCTCCCCAGGAGCTAAAGGCCAGCGTCTGCGGCCCCGGGCACAGCAGGCAGGGACGAGTGCACACCACATCTCAGTCCTGGCTGCCCCATTTCCACTCTCTGGTTCCATCAGCCACAAACCAGCTCACACAGAGGAGAAGGGAACGGAGCAAGACCACACCACAGGTCCCAGAAGACTGGAGCCCAGAGGTGCCGTGAGGTCTTCCCATTGAGTCCACTGCCACATTTCATGCCTCCCTGGACTGGCCCATATTTGGGCAAAAGGGTGCTGCTTACTATTGTTGAATAACTTCCTGCCTAGTCCCACCTCTGGGCCTTTGAACATGCTGATCTCTTCCTCAGAAACATCTTTCCTCCTTCAGAGTGCTGCTTGAATAGTACCTTCTCTAGGACGCTCATCCAGATTCTCCTGCAAGCACACGGAGCCTGCCCTTGGTCTGCGGCCCAGCTCTGTGGGTGCCACACGGATCCAGGTGCATGGTAGGGGCCTCAGTGAGAGTCAGGGGCACTGAGGGGAACTGAAAGCCTTCAGGATTCTGCCTCATGTATTACATCACATTAATTCTATCAAGCTTTTTTTCTTGAAATTAAAAAAAAATGAACTCTAGACCTGCATGTGAATAAGGATTTAAAATTATATCAGTCAGAGAAGCCTGATCTTTTCTCTCCCAGTGTCTGGTCGATTGACCAGCTGCCCTTGTCAACCACATCAGGCTTCTGGTCCACACTGGCAGTCGAATATGCAAGTCTGTCCAGCCTCCTGAGCCTCTAGCGGCCATCCCTGACCTGCTGGGGAGTCAGGGCAGGGGGAGACCATGGCAGATGTTCCCCTGTCTTCCAGGAGCCGCGAGGCTAAGAGCTAGGCTGAACACACGCAAACACGTCCACACCAGCGTGCCCACTGCTCCAGAAGCCAGGGGCTTGTGGCCCAAGTCCTGCCAGGAGAGGAAGTGCCAGGAGCCCTCCACATTCTCTCAGCCCTGGCCTTTTCTCCCTCTCCTTATTTAGAACAGTCCTCTTCCCTGTAGGGCCTGCTGGGAGGGTGGACAGCAGGAGTGAGGCAGGTGCCTGCAAAGGCAGGGGTTCCAGCGAGGGGAGGAGGGGCAGGGAGCCCCACATGGAGGCCCATGGCAGCCACACGTACCAGACACTTGTCCTGGGGCTCCGCTGGGAAGGCACCTCCTCTGGGAAATGGCTCTGACCTCCCAGCTGCCATAGGGTTCCCTCCTTTGTGCTTCCACACCACTGCCCCCCAGCCCCCACCCCCGTCCAGATCGCACATGCATTTCTGTGACTGTTTACTGTCTGTCTTCTCCCAGGAGAACAGCACTCCTGGGAGAAGGAGACGCATCAGGTCCTGAGCAACCAGCGGGAACCCAGCAGAGTCCACATGGGCCCACTGGGGAGCAAGGAATGAATGAGTCCACACTGGGGATGGGATTTGTGGGGTCTGTGCTCAGGTCTCTGCTGGGAACACCTGTGCATTCTTGCTGTCTGCAGTTGGCATTTGACAATCGCAAGTTCTGTATTTTCTTCTCCCTCCTACTTCGTCTTCTAAACCCTGATGCAACACTCCGCCTACACACACTCACACATGTAGGCACACACCCCCACACAAACCATAGACACATGTACAGTTACACGCACACGACTTACCCACCAACTCTAGACACATGACACTCACACCCAATAGTACAGTAATACCCGTACACCACACACAGCAACACACGCACGCTCGCCAGCAAACCACAGCTACACTCTGACCTGCCCGCACACACAGTCCCGCAAATGACACCCAGATACACAGACGCAGACATCTGTGCACAGACAAGCAGGCAGATATACCCTCCCCCTCGAGGACAAACTCTGAATGGTGGTTCCTCTGCTTTTCCATCTAGGGATTCCTTCCTTTGTCTTTCCTTCTGCTTTGATTCGCTTCACAATGAACAAAGCACCGTTCCTTGGTTCATTTACCTACCCAAGAGCCCTTCTTGAAGACTCCCTCTGCTCCGGTACTGTATGTGAAGACAAGCAGGGCTCAGACCTGCCCTGGAGAGGCTACTGGAAGGAACAGACATAGAAAACACCACCCATAAGGCTGGTGGGACCCCTGGATCAAAGAACTATTTCTTGAGTACTTACTGGGGGCTGGGCTTGTGCTGGGCTTTGGGAATGCAGCGGTGAGTAAGGTCCAGTCTCCCTGGTCTCAAGGAAGCTCCAGACCTGGGGGAAGGGAAGAGAGACAGGCAAAGATAGACTATCTTCCTGTGATGTACACAGATCAGTGGCAGCCCGGAGTAGGGAGTGATTAACCCTGTGGGAAGGTAATCCAGGAGGGCTTCACGGAGAAGGTGGTACTGGGTGTTTTTTATTTTTTTGTCTTTTTTTTTTTTAAAGACTTTATTTATTTATTTGACAGACAGAGATCACAAGTAGGCAGAGAGGCAGGCAGAGAGAAAGGTGAAAGCAAGCTCCCCGCTGAGCAGAGAGCCTGATGCGGGGCACGATCCCAGGACCCCGGGATCATGACCCCAGCTGAAGGCAGAGGCTTTAACCCCCTGGGCCACCCAGGTGCCACGGTACTGGGTTTTGTAGGATGCAGAGCCGTTCAGGGGAAGACTTGAGCCTGGAACAGGTTGGCATTTGATGCAGAACAAAGGCTGAGATCTCAGAAAGCTAGACCAAAAGTTCTGTGGGTCTGGACTGTAAGGATGAGTATGTGGGTGGTGGGTGCGGCGTGGGGTGAGAGCATGGGAGAGGTCGATACACGGGGCAGGGAACAACGTCTCCTTACAGTCGAGGAAACAGGCTCAGGTTGGTAAACGCAGCTGTCTTTGACCTCTGTTGGACCCTTTCCTGTTCTTGGGGACAGCCACAAACCCCACTGCCCGTGCTCTCCAGATGAGACCAGGCTGCTTGCTAGTAGCTGAACACATTAAAAGCTCAGAGCTGGTGGGAGACATTATTATTCGTTGCGATGATTATTCTCTAAAGTCCAGCTTGGCAGGTAATCAGCAGCTCAGCAGGCCCCAGGCGAGGGAGATCTGGGCCTTAGAGGCAGAGCAGGGCCCCCAAGCCCCCAACCTCCCCCAACCCTCCCAGCCCCCTCCCCTCCAGGCCCAGGCCCCTGCCCAGCAGCTGGTTGGCAGCTGTGGGTCTCGGTCAGCTGGTCAGCTGGGTCCCTGAGCCAGAGCACACATTCCCCTGGGGCTGCCTCATTGTCCCCCTCCACTACCGCCACCCGCCCCCTGCTGGCTCTTACCCTCTCATTCGGCCCACGCCCCCTCCCACGGCCAATTAGTCTGCTCAGGCAATTAGCGGTTCCCTTCTCCTCCTGGGTTTCTACTTCCCTCAGGGCAGGAGCTGGTTCTGGAAGGGGCTGAGTCATTTTCCTGAAAGGAATGCTGCCTGAGGAAGTGGCCGGCTCCTCCTCCACCTGAGGCTGTGTGATCCCCGGCTGGCAACTTCACCTCTCTGAGACTGTTTCCTGGCCTGGTAAATGAGGGTGTTAACCCAACTAGATAATGAGTACAAGGGCCTCACACTTGGACAAGGCTCTTGGTCCCCCGGGGCCTCAGTTTCCCCCGTGTGAAATGTAGGGAAGGGTGAGGTCAGAGGTCAGTACCTAGCAAGGACAGAGGGACCAATCTGGCTAGCCATTTCTTTTGACCAACACCTTACTTTTTAAAAAAATTGCAAAATTGGCAGACAGTTTCTCCTTTGCTGTCCTGCCCACCGCTCCCTGAGGTGTATCCAATAAATATCCAAAAAAAAAATAAATAAATAAATAAAAAAATTGCAATTTGAAGGTGCACCCCGGTATGCCCAGTTCCCACCATTTTCTACTGTCTCACCCGAGCTATCTCCTATGGTCCCGGAGGGCCCCTGAGTTTGAGACCCCTAGACAAGCTGGTCTCAGAGTTCGTCGCACAGGGCTCTTTTCAAGGCTTCTGTGGCCGTGGGTTCCGGGGCAGGCCCATCCAGCACAGGACCACTCATCCATGGGCCTCCCTCCCCCATTCCAGACCCTCCTCCTCTCCCTCAGACCCGGCACTCCTTCACTGCCTTCTCCACTCGGGAAAGCCTGCAAGGCTCTCTCCCCTGTTGCCTCCTCTGGGAAGCTGTCCCTGACTGCCCCAGGTGGAGGACGGGACTCCCTCTTCTGGGCTTGCCTGCCTACAGCAAATACCAGGGTATAGTGAAGGTGGCTGGGGCGCTTCTCCTCCATTCTGTATATTCAGTAGATACTAAACATTGACCCCCTGATGTCAGCAGGGCCTCGAGCAGGAGGGCAGCCGCTTCCCTCCATCACCTCTATCGGCAGAGCCCCAAGAGGAGGCTGGGCATGGTTAGTAGGGGGTCAGGAAATGTTTGTTTCGGGAATCAGCAACAAGGAAGGGCGGAAAGCCTTGCTCACTGCCACCCTAACTCATTTAAAATGCAAGAGGATGGGGCACCCGGGTGGCTCAGTGGGTTAAGCCTCTGCCTTTGGCTCAGGTCATGATCTCAGGGACCTGGGATCAAGCCCTGCACGGAGATTTCTGCTCAGCGGGGAGCCTGCTTCCCCCTCTCTCTCTGCCTGCTGCTCTGCCTACTTGTGATCTCTTTCTCTCTCTGTCAAATAAATAAATAAAATCTTAAATAAAATAAAATAAAATAAAATGAAAGAGGAGAGAAAGCTGGCCACCTTGAATCCCCACAACTCCCAGTAACGATTCCCTCCCTCCGCACCTCTGTAAGACATTACCCCTGACAAAGCAAGGTGCCGGTGCCCTCCTTGCCACCCGTCCCCTGCAGATGGGAGACGCTGTGATGTATCTTCCCTGCCCTGCACTCCGGCCCAGAGAAGTGCGATGCTTGCTGGGGACCTCCGTACCAATGCTTGCCACCCCCCGCCCCGTGCCCTGACCCCGAGACCCTGCCCCTCCCACCCCACCTTGGGGGCTGCCTCTTTCTCCTGTCACTCAAATAGGGACACAAATCCATCTGTTTGCTTCTTTGTGTCTCTTTGTCCTTCCATGTTTCCCTCATTCTTACCTCCTGCCTTTCTTCCTGTCTTAGGTCTCCAGCCTCTCCACTCTTCTCTTGTGTCGCCTCTGCTGAGCCCTGCCTCTGTCTGTCTCTGTCCCCTCCTCTCCGTCCATCTGCCTCTCCGTCTCTGTCTCCATGCCCTTTTCTTTCTCCTGGGCTGTCTGTCTGGCTTTCTCTCCGTAATTAGCTTCACTTCTAGCTTTTACTCTCAGGTCTCCTGGGTGGTGGGGGGCGGGCAGCGGGACAAGGAGGGAAACATCTTTCCAGCATGCAGAAAATGGGCCAATTAAAGCCACAAGGCTGCTCAGGAGGCCGAACAAGGAGGAAGCAGAAATAGCCCCAGGCGGGTCTAGCTGGAAAAATAACTAGAGAAACTGGGAGAAAGGGCAAAATGGATGCAGAGTCCAAAGTCACAGGTGCTCCTCGTCCAGATCCCCCCAGAGGTGGCTCCCTCCCACCCAGATTCCGAGGGTTGGTTTCTGACTGCTGCTTGGCGGGGTGTCCCATTCTCACCCTCTACCTCTGCTGGACTGGAGGAAGACTTAGAGCTTGCCAGACCTCCCAAGGCCTCCCCTCAAGTGCAAATGTCCCCCTCACACCTTCAGGCTGAGCCGTGGTGACAGCTGCCCCTCCCCACCCCAAGGCCTCCTCCAGCTTTTGGGAACACAGGTAGCTGGGAGACCAGGGATGGGGGAGGGGAGAGGAACCCCACCCCCACCATTCTAAGGTCTTCTAGCTCCTGCCCTTGGACCCCAGGAATGTGGGGCCTGCTCCACACCAGGCACTCCGGAGCCAGGGATGGGATGGCCACAGAACAGAGAGAGCCCCACAGTCTCCTCCTAGGAGCTCCAGGTCCAGTGGGGGCTCCAGATAAACAGGTGACAACAGGTGTGGTCCTGTGGAAGGCGTAAAGCATCCCCAAGGACTCTGGTATCTGTCCCCAGCCTGCAGAATCTGCAGGGGGTCCCACACCAATGGGGGCCGTGGGAGCTGAAGGCTATCTCAAGCAGAGGAACGTGGAAGAAGCCGGTAAAGAAAATGAAAACAGCCCCAGGAAGCCTAGGAGGGCTGGGGGGGAGTAAAGTGTGTGTGTGCTGGGGGGGTGTGCTTGCAGTCCAAAACAAAGAGCTTAGAATTTATGCTCAGGATAAAAGGGAGCCATGGAGGACTATAGGCAAGGGAGGGGCACCGTGATATGTTCCTTTAGGGAGAGTCTGTGACCTACAGGGGCAGGGGAGGACAGATAAGGATGGCAGCAGGTGGAGCAGGCCAAGTGCTACTACAGACCATCAGGGAAGAGACAATAGGCTCCAAAGAGGCAATGTAAGATGAATTCATTACCCAGTCTATGGCTTTCAGCTGGCCACCAAGGCAGGGGCTGTGATCTGGACCAAGTCCCTTCCTAAACTCTCTCCGTATCCTCTTCCCACTGCCTTTCCCCCCAGATTGCCAGATTCCCTGGACCTGCCTTGATTTATCCCACCTCTGTGCCTTTCCTCCTTTAATTTCTTCCTTCTAGAATGTTCTCCCCTCTCTCTCATGGATCTAAATCCTACCCATCTGTCAAGATCCAGTTCAAATATCCCCTTCTCCATGCAACCTCTCCTTCCAGGTTTTCAGGAAACACTACCTCGGCCTCTCTCTCTCTCTTTTTTTTTAAGATTTTATTTATTAAAAAAAAACTAAAAAAAAAAAAGATTTATTTATTTGAACAGAGAGAGAGATCACAAATACGCAGAGAGGCAGGCAGAGAGAGAGAGAGGAGGAAGCAAGCTCCCTGAGAAGCAGAGAGCCCGATGCGGGACTGGATTCCAGGACCCTGAGATCATGACCTGAGCTGAAGGCAGAGGTTTAACCGACTGAGCCACCCAGGTGCCCTACCTCAGGTAGCCTCTCTCATGGCCCAGGACACTTAGTGCCTTTTGTATCATTTTTTGTACCTACTCTAGGATCCCCTATGCATTCAGAGCATCTTCAGGGCTGAAATCTGGTCTGATGCAACAGTCCGCAGGATAAGGCCTGACCCAGGAAAACATCTCCACAAAGGCTTGGTGAAGGAAAGAAGAAAGGAGGGAGGAAGGAGGAAGGGAGAAAGGATAAAGAGAAGAAGGTGGGGCGGTGAGTGAAAGTCTGTATTTACGGGCTCACTGTGCCTGCGTGAGACTTGAATCACTTTAGCTGGGTAATCCATTTCTCTGGTATTCCCTGCCTAGGTGTGCCTGCAACGTGGTTCCAATTTTCTGAGTCTAATCTATATTCGGTCATTAACATCAGACATCCTGGTTTTCTTCTTTCCCTAAGACTTACTATAACTTCAACCTCATTGTTTCTGCCTAGCCATAGAAATACGGGGAGGGAGGGAAGGAGGAAGGGGAGGAGGGAGGGATGGAGAGATGGGTAGATAACTGAGCGGCTGGAGGAGTGGATGACCAAATTAAAAACTAAGAGAAACCCATCCAAGAACTATGGATGATAAATTGTAAGTAAGATACGTGACACCAGCATTTGGTGGAGATCGATCCGATCCTGGCCATGTGTTCATTCATTCCCCCAGCCCTAACTGTGCACCCACCATGTGTCAAACACCGTAACAGACCCTAGGAATCCATCAGTGAGCAAAATACATGACGCCTGACCCCCAGAACTTAGAGTCTAGTGAAGGAAACAGACAAGAAACTGAGGAATTGCCAAGCAATATCGTAAGCATTGTGATAGAGAACACGTGGGACCGTGTGGGACGCTGTCTGAGCAGAGCAGCAGTGTGCATCATGCACTCATTCAGGAGTGTCAGGGAAGGCTCCCTGGAAGAAGTGACATGTAGGCTGGGCAAGGAGAGACTGATGAGCGGCGAGTCGGAGGCATAAGCAAGCCTGGCAGAGGGAACGGAACGTGCAAAGCACCAGGAGGGAGAGAGCACAGGGCCAGTTTTTTTTAGGAAACTAGAAAAGTTCAATCCACAGGAGCACAGAGGGCTGGGGTCAGCAGATGAGCAAAGAAGGGTCATGGAAGCCAGAATTTAGGTCCATGGAAGCCAGGACCTATGGACCCTCAAGGAGCCCAGGCTCTCTTCTAAAAGCACGGGGTCCAGGGCGGGGGATTCCCTTGCAAGGTTCAAGCCGGGAGAAATCTGACCACAAATGTAGGAAGACTATCCATTGCATGATGTCTTTTGAAATTCCTCCTGTTAATGCAGAAAGATTATTTTCTTCTGATGTTTCCCCATAAATAGTGTTGTTGCCAAATCTATAAATCATCTGGGAAATTAAATGTTTTTCTTGGTGATCAAAAACCAAGGAAATGAAAATTAACTTCAT